CCATTTTTATTTCTGCAAAGTGTGCAAAATAATAACAGGTACCATTTATTGGACACTTATTATATACCCAGCACTGTGCTTAGGTACTCTGTAGACTTTGAGTCATTTGATCACCAGATGGGTATCTGTATTAGTCCATTCTTGCATTGCTATAAAGAAATACCTGAAACTGGATGATTTATAAAGAAAAGAGGTTTAATTGGCTCACAGATCTGCAGACTGTACAGGAAACATGGGAGCATCTGCTTCTGGGGAGGCCTCAGGGAGCTTTTACTCTTAGCAGAAGCCAAAGCAGGAGCAGGCACTTCACATGGTGAAAGCAGGAGCCGGAGAGTGAGAACAACCAGATCTCTGGAGAACTCACTCACTATCATGAGAAAAGCACACAAGGGGATGGTGCTAAACCATGCGTCAGAAATCTGCCCCCACGATCCAATCACCTCCCAACAGGCCCTACCTCCAACATTAGAAATTACATTTCGATATGAGATTCAGGTAGGGACACACATCCAAACTATATCCATATCATTTTCCCCATTTTGCAACAAGCTAGGGAACTGCACTCACGGTTGATCTGCAGAATGTTGCATATCAGACAAGTTAGATATTAAACTTCCAGGACTGATTATTTGGTCCTGGGTCTTTAGTTAACTTGAATAAATGTCACAGTATTGCCACACAGTCGCAATTCCTAATAAACTCCACTTCCACTTCCCCAACAGATAAAAAATAAATAAGTGACCTTACAAATATGACTCAGGCCAAAATCAGAGACAGTAGACATTTTTAAAGCGTCTCGAGTCGGGTATGGTGGTTCAGGCCTGTAATCCTAGCATTGTTGGGAGGCTGAGGCAGGAGGGTGGCTTGAGGCCATAAAGTTGAAACCAGACTGGACAACAAAGTGAAAATCTGTTTCTACAATAATAATAATAAAGAATAACCAGGCATAGTGGCACACACCTATAGTCCCAGCTACTCAGGAAGCTGAGGCAGGAGGATCCCCTGGTTCCATCTGAGGCTGCGGTGAGCTATTATGATTGAACTACTGCACTCCAACCTGGGCAACAGAATGGTACCTTGTCTCTAAAATTAATTAACTAATAAGATAATAAAAGACAGTTTTGTTCTGGGATTTTAATTTAACTTCAGTTTAGAGTAAGTGGGGGTATTTGACCTCTTGCCAGGATCGGTTATCCATCTGGTGAGGTAGAATGTTCATTTCAATGATGGAAGAGGTAACAATAGCCCCTGACACAGTGCTACCCACCAAGGAATGTTAGGGCACACAGTGCCATGTATCTGCAGAAGGCTGGCCAACACAATTTGGGAGCTCTTTTAATTGCAAATGTGCTTTTTCCTATCGCTGCTTTACTAACTTCTAGTGTCAAAATATTGTCATCTATGGATGAGATTCAAAGAACATCAAGTATGATAAAAAGAGTTAATCAGGCAAAAGAAAGTGAAAGTCAAGGAAAACCAATCATCTTAAGACCATTTGTTGTTTAGGGTAGACCCTATAAATAGGAATAAAAGACTGCAGAATAAACAATTTATTTTCCAGTGAGATTGGATTTGTTCATCCAAACACATCCACTGCTGCAGTGTTTCTGTTACAAGTAGAAGATATGCAGGACACTTGCTCTGAGATAATCTTACCAGCTGACTTTCCTACTTTTTCATCATCATTAAAAATCAGATTTTCCACTGGTAGTCTTTCACAGATTTTTAAAAACACTATATTCAGAAAATAGTTTTGATCTTATTACCCAAAAATTCTTATACAAGAAGACTGCTGGTATCAAACCAGATGTATTTGGAAAGCTTTGAAAACCAGTGCAGGAAAGCACATATTCTCTGTAAGTGCACAGCTGGTGGTGGCCCCTTCTGTAGCTGTCCTACTGGGCAACCCAGGTAGGGAGCAAGTGCAACCCGGGTGAGTACAGAGTGAAGCTGGGATGAGAGCAGATGTGGCTTAAGTTCAGGCTGAATCCTCTTTGGGGTATAATTGATTTTTCTTCACAAAGCTGACCCACCTTCCTGGAGCCATACCAAAAAGAGCTATGGGGGCTACAAGAAAACTCTCAGGCCACCTAAAGCTACCCAATTCTCCTTTCATAGTACAAATTCCTTCCCTAACCTCACTTTCAGAGCAGATACAGAATTTTCTCAGTTCCATAGGGCAGCCTACAATCAAACCTGGTAATATGTCCTGAATACCTTAATAACATTGGAAATCTGCTCAAATGGGAAAGGTCCACAAATAACATTAGATACTATCCACAAGGCTCTTGAACCTCACAACCCTATTACTGAGAAAATTCCCTGAAAACTCCTGTTACTGAAAAAAAATCCCTGGACTCTACTAAAATAGGGCAGTGGTTCCTATTCGGAGGGAGAGTGGCCTGAGACCCTTTCTACCCACTAGCCCTCCAAAGATGGTTATTCCAGAATCAGGGAACATTTTAGATCTAGCCACAGAAAACTGGCTTAGCAGTCAGCTCTGGATGTAAGATTTGGATGTGCCACTTAGGGCTATGTGGACTTGGGATAAATTCCCTAACCTTTGAGTCAGGGATTAGGATAGGCCGCTCTATTAGGAATGTCATGAGAATTAAATGAGAGACCATCTGTGAAGTGTTTAACCTGCTGTTTGTCTCTCAGTAAGCACACAGTGAATAGAGGAATCATCCAGACATCTCTGGCCTCAATTTGAGACCACAGCAGCCTCCATGTTGATGTTTACTCTGGTTCTAGGTTGTCAACTAAAATCCAGAGGAGGGGTGAAGATCCTTCAAACTCTAGGCCCAAGAATGTCTGATTGCAAATGGTTGTAGTACCACTGTGAAGACTGAGCACGGATTTTGAATTCAGACCTGAATGGGAATCACTTCCCCTTCACTAATTACTGTCTTAGGTGAACATGGCTAATTCAACTTTGTATTTGTTTTCCTGTTTATACAATGAGGATAATACCCAATTGAGGGATTGAAAGCTTTAAATGAGATATTTACATGTAAAGTCCTTAGAACAATAGCTGCCATATCATAGGAGCTCAATTCATAACTATTGAATCCAATTCAAAAAGTGCTAAATAACTGCAGTCATTTTGTTATATAGAAACTAGCCAGTAAGTTAAAATTGGAACCAAAAGATAAGCTTGGTTCAGATAATCTTCAAACACTGATGAATACACATTCTGCCTTTAATAAGGTAAATATTCCAACAGGCCTATTAAGCTATAGCTCATAGTTCATCTACGTTACCTATTCAGATTTCTTACCTTATTGATAAGAATTATTTGTGCCAGGCAAGGTGCATACTACTTAAAATCATTAATTTCACACTAAATTAGCTTCCTTTAGTAAGGTAGAAAGAACCAACTTTTTGATGACCTATAGAATATTGCTATGTTGTGTGTACTCTTCTCCCCTTTTTTACAAATTTAGAAAACAGGATTAGTACAAAAGTTAAGCAGATGAGGGAAGCAGTAAGCGTCAGAGGAAGAAATTGAATGCAAGTCTGTCTGAGCTAGCCTGCCCATGTGTTTGCCCTTTCTGTTTGCTCTGAACTTTCCATTTCTCAGTATTTCTCAAGAGCATGCCTTCTAAATAGGATTCTCAGGAAGCCACTATTGAATTAATAAAGGCCATTTACAGCCATTCGAAGGGAATAAGAAGTTTAGTCGGTGATGAGTTTCAAATTTGGTTATCATCTTGCTTTTCCAGTGGTGATGAAAAAGCAAAAATCACTCAAATACAATGACTACTGTCTGCTTGAAACGCTCCAGGTAATTTTTGAATTATGATTCATCTTGCCCTTCCTGTTTTGATGAGCCATGAACAGGAGACTGAACCATCCCTGTCAATAAAAAGCTCGCATTTCCACCCTGCAAATTCGCGCTATAATGACAGTGTAATTGGCTGAGGCGCAGGTGGGATTTCCTGTCGCCATTTTAAGACACAACTCTTCTGCAAGGAAGTGCCCAGCCAGTAAAAGGGGGCTGTGTCTGAAACAAAGAGTAAGCGGGGGAAAAAAGGGAACCAGGCCCAGTTGCCCCTGTTCCCCTCCATCGCGCTCCCTTGTCCCCAGGACTTGGAGCGCCCCAGCTCAGTTAACCTGGACGCACCAGGTCCTTCGGTCGGAACCACATGGGGTCTCCAGGCCCTCCAAGAGCTGGCCCCCGCCTCTTGCGCCTAGGCCGGTGCTTTCTCGGCACTCAGCAAATCTTTCTGGTTGCCTCACACCCAGTCCCCAAAGCAGAGCTCCACAGGGCAGATCTCAGGAAGGGCTTGCCAGGTCTGCGGATGCTGGATCCGGAAGAAGGGAGGTGCCTCCCGCTTCAGGATAGGGACAAAGGGTTTCTAAAGGTGCCCGAGCTCTCCGCTCCCCCTGTCGCTTCGTTCCCCTTCCCGCCAACCCGGGCCACCTGCGGGCTGTACCCAGGGCCAACCCTCCGCTCCAACGCTGCTCGTAGTCCCAGGCGCTCCCCGCGGCTCTCCGGGCTGGGCTTGGACCGGCCACTCCCGCGGCCATCCTCATGCTGCGCCCTTCCCACAATGCAACTCCCTCGCTCCTTCGGCCCCGGCGGGGCTCTGGCGTACCCAAAATGCAGGCCCCAGCGGAACGCACAGCCCTCCTGTCCTCCTCCGGTGCCCCTTTAGCCACCCCACCCCCATCTCTAAGGGCTCTCATTCTCCAGCTGCCGCCGCAGCTGGGTTCCGAACACGCCGCCGGGCCCCGGGAGGGAGAGGGGCAGGTGCCAGGGCGGTGCGCAGCCTCCGCTCCCGGTGCCACCTTCAGTGCGGCGGGCACACGCGCGCCCCGCAACCCCTCCCTCACCCTTTCCCAGTTGCTCAATCTCCGCCAGCCGCGGTCGCTGCATCGTCAGAGAGCTGCAAGAGGGAGGCAGCAAGGCGCGGCCGCCAGCAGTGACACCATGTGACCGGCACGGCTCAGTGACACGCAGCTTTGGTTAAAGAGCGGGCGCACAGGAGGGGAGGAGACGGCGCGCGGGACAGGGAGGAATGGCCTGTCCCCCTTAAACCATCACAAGCCATGGTTGCGGAAGGGCCACGCGCCTCCCAGTAGGAGAATGACTCCGATTCGTGACCCTCAGCGCGGGTGCATGTCGATGTAAGTGCGAGGCCGGCGAGCAGAGTGTGAGTGGGGGTTGGTGGTGAGGGGAGATTCTGATGCAATCGGCCCGGAAAGGAGGAGGAGAGACAGGCGAGCGCGGATTGGGGCAGCCACGCCACTCCGCCTGAAGGTCGCCAGGAGCCTCCGCCCTTCACCTTCCTCGGAAATCCGCCAGGCCACGCCAAGCTCCCTGTCCAGCCCTGACTGACGGGAGCCACCTTTTCCTGGCCTCCGCAGCCAGACCTTGACACAAAGGACATCAAACTGCCGAGGGTAAAAACCCCGGAAGGGCGGACACATCCACGTCGCCTTTCGCCACCTTTCCCTTTATCTGCGGAGGTAAGGTGATTATCCGTTCCCTGGGAGGGCTGGGCAAGCGGCGAGGGGATGTTTAGATGTGGGAGGAGGCGGTAACGTAGAAATCATCTCTGCTGGCGTGAAAGCAGAGAGAGCTAGGCTGTGCCGGATGCTTTCGGATGTTGCTTTTAGGAGAGGAAAAGTCCAGGTCTCCTGTGCTTCCCGAACGCATGCGGCAGAGCGAGGAAGCGCCAGGGCCCCCGAGTTCACCTTTGCGTGGGCTGTGGCTTACTTTTTGGTTTGTTTTCCTGTGGCTTTGGTGTGTTTTCCTGTGGCTGTGGCGGAGTGTGGTACCAGATCTGGTTCCATTTTTACGAGGGCCGGGAACCACGCAGGTCTGGAGGGAGCGCGCATCTGACCCGAGGGCGCGACCCTGTTCTAGGAGTGTTTGAATCCCCGACCTTTGGGGAAATTTTCCTGTGTCCCCAAGGCCCAGGGGAGATCGTGTGATGTCCTGGGGTGCTGCGTGTGGCCGGCTGGGTAGCCGCGGCGGACCACCAGTAAACCGGGGCACGTTTGCCGTCCTTCCTGGTGCTCTGCCCCACTGTAACGCGGGGAAGTAGGAGGGCGCGAGGAGAAATTACTAAAGGATGTTTGCAAGTGACTCACTGTCCTTTCCTGCCCTGAGGAGGTTTTTCTAAAATGCAGAGGGTGGCGGGGGACAGGGATAGTGTTTTTTCGAGAGCTGGGATGTGCTGGAGCCAGCGAACAAAAGGCCACCTCTTGCGCGGTCTTGGGCTCCAGTCCTACCTCCTTCCCAACCCCCGACAGCAAGCTCGCGTCCCTAAACATTGCCACAGAGGCCTTTAAATGCGTGGGTCGGTGCCGGGAGGAGAGCGCACCTTCGCCCTTGTGCGAGCCCTTTGCCCCCTAAATTACCCACCTCCCGGAACATGGGGCTCCTCAGCACCGTTGGGATCCGGTAGGTTACCCGGCTGCCTGGGCGCCGATTCCCTGCCAAATCGCCCGCCCGAGGTTTTTGCTGAACTGTAGTCAGTGAAGGCACAAGTGCATATGGCAGCAAAAGGAATTTCGCGGTAACCGCGTCACGCCGCTCCCAGTGCCTTTCACAGGCTGCCTTGGACTGGGGAAGGTGGTGCTACAATTCAGAGCCCTTTGTCTTGCTCTGCGGCGCGGACCCGAGGCTTATACAAACCCTCGTTCTCTGTTAGAAACTAACTGCCGCCAGGATTCGTCTACTTTCTCAGACGAATCCACGGTGATGTGTGTAGTAAAAGTGAAAAAAGACGACTCTGCTAGAAAACAGTATTCATTTGCGTTTGGAAGGGGTTTTGACCTCTCTGCAGTGGGTTTTTACATTTTTCAATACAAGGGGGAGGAGGAAAATAAATTTATGGTTTGCAGAATGCAGGGCCCAGCGAGGTTGTAATTTGTCACCTTGATAAAAGAAACTGTGCAGCAACTCGTGCTTTTTCTGACGTCAGAAGGACAACGGAAATAAAACCTGAGCTCGGTGCATGGCTGGCCTCGTTGTCAGATACCTCATGCTAGTTTTGTCCTCCCGAAATCTTGCGAAACAGCCAATTCCGGGGTACTGACCTGGTGTGGACCCCCTGGATTTTGGTTCGACCCCAGCCTCAAAATGGCTTTTCACTTGAGAGTCACTCGAGTTCTCAGTATGTCGCCGCAAGCAATTGGAAACTGGCCTAGTTTGGTTTGAGGTCTTAATCTTGAGATTTATTCGCTTTTTTAAAAAATGTGGCAATAAACATTTTCTACAGAGGGTTTACTGTGCGACTGGTAGCAACTAACGATTTGTTTCACCTTCTATGAAGCTTCTGTTCTCAGGGGGAAACAGACTATATAAATGTAGGCATATACATTTCGGGTATTCTTAGTGCAATGAAGAAGTAAAACAGGATCATGTGATGGGGGAGGATGCTTGAAATAGAGTGACTCACCGGGAGGGCCAGTGTGAGGGTATAACATTTGTCCTCAGACCCGAATGATGAAAAGGGACCAGCTATTTCTATAATTGAGGGAAGAAGGCCAGCAGAAGGAACAGGAAGAAGGAACAGCAAGTACTTACTGCACTCTTCTTTGACTGTAATATAATTGAACAGAGAGATGAATAGATTTTAAAGGTGTTTTGGATCTTTAAACCTATACGTATGTTGTTTATGTATTTTTTTAATGATGCTCCATGAATTAAGGCCATTTAATGAAAGGAGCACCATGTTTAGGAGTCCTGACATCTTACGGTTGCTACTCTTTTCTTTACTTTGGGTGACGCTTGTGGACAAAAACCGATTTTACTCATTGTTCCTCTAATGTCCAGCACATAGTACCTGCTTAATAAATACTTGTTGGATTGAGACCTTGGTCAAGCCATCTTGTTCATCTCTTTGTGATGTTATTGACCATCCCTTCCTTTCTATATCTCATCTGTTCCCCTTCTCCTAAGTTTGAAAATTAGAGTCTTTCTCTTCTCTGCTTCTCCTTCTCTTACTGCCCTCCCCACTTTGAGCAGTGACCAGGCCCTTGAAAATACCCCTCATACTTGTCCTCTTGTCTCCATTTCCACTGCCCAAGTTCAGGTCCCTGTCACCTGACCTAGACTTGGAGACATATGAAACAGATATAGAGGTGCCTTGAACAATCTCGGGGAAGTGGGAGTGGGCGGTGGAGAAAAATGCAAGCACAACACATAGTTAAGAGTGAAACAGCCAGTTACTGAGGTGCAAGAGCTTTCCTGTTGTCTCCTCCATACCAAATTATGCTCCCCTAATTAAATCTCCATTCTTTCATAAGATTTATATTTCTAAAATTGAGTTCACATTTTGTTAAAGAACCTTGCTTTTAAAAACTTCCGTGGGTTTCCATTGCACACAAATACAGTCTAAATTCCTTAGTCATGCACTTAGGACCCTTTGCAACCTGCCTCCTCATCTCTTTCCAATTTTTCTCTTGACATTTTCTTTCTCACAGTTTACCCTTTTCCCTGCCTATTACTTTTCTGCTTCAATATCTGTGTGGATTGGATTCCAGTCCAGAATGCCTACTGAAATCCTGCTTGTGATGGCCTATCCCTGATGCCACTTTTCCACCTCTTGGGAGAAGTGTTCACTGATCGTCTCATTGGCATTTTCATAAAGATTTGTTTATCTTTCACGTTTTGCACTATTGTTACTCCAGATGATAGAAGGTGGTGAATAGGGGTTTAAGCTCTGAGTCAAATGTAAATATCAGGCCTCAATTTACTCACCCAGGAACCTTGGGCAAGGTGTATGGCATCTCTAAGCCTCAGTTTTTTCATTTGCTTAATGGGAATGATGATGGTGGTGGTAGTGTTGGTGGTACTTTATTTGAGTTATGGTAAGAATTTAATTAAGATGATGAATGTGAAATATTTGGTATAGTGTTAGCATTCCATATGTATTGAATTAAACCAGACTCTCATCTATCAGAGGAGGGAGAGAAAGTTGATCAGTAAAGTTCACTTTACCTCTGAAATTCTATGACTATGTAATCTTTTTAAAATACTTTTCTGAAAATAATATCTTAATGGAAACTACCTGGATCTTTTTAGTGTCTGGGAGAATATACATCTATGAAAAGTGGTGAGGAGATGGGAGAAGAACGTGTGCAGAAGTACTTTGAAAACCTGTGACAGACTTAGAAAAAGACATCTTGTATGCACACAGAGTAATATAATGGACTGTGGAGACTCAGAATCCAGAGGTTGGAAGGGAGGATGCAAGATAAAAAGCTACATATTGGGCACAATGTATACTACTCAGATGGCAAGTGCACTAAAGTCTCAGATTTCATCGCTTTCAATTCATTTGTATAACCACCAAAAATCACCGATACCCCAAAAGCTATTGAAATAAAAAAATTTTAAGTAAAATTAAAAGATTAGCTTCAATAACCTACAAAAAGACACTGACCCTAAATTTAAAGTAAAATTTTAAATTTAAAAATATTGTTGTACTTATTTCTGAATATTGATCACATTTGTTTTCTAGTGATAACCTTACTAACAGCAGAGGAGTTCCCCTAACCTTGTTACCTTCCCAATCACTGAATTCCTCTAGTATTAGTCAGTAACTCTGTTTCAAGTGAGGTTACAATGTGTCTTTGCCAATAACTAGCTGGGTACCCTTGAGCAACTCATTTCACGTTTTTATGCCTCATTTTCTCATCTATCCAATGCTAATAATAGTATCAGAGCTGCCTACCTCAGAGTTGTGAAGATACAATGAGAGCAGAGCTGAGAAAGTCCTTGAACAATTCAAGATGATAGTCGTCTGGCATTAAGCACACTGCTGATCTTCAGGGTCAGGTGATGGTTTTAGATTAGTGAGTCTCAGAGCAGACTTCACATTAGACTCATTTAGAGTGTTTTAAAAGCTATCAATACCAAGACTTCATCTCCAGAGATTCAGATTTAATTGGCCTGGGGTGGAGCCCAAATATGGGAGCTTAAAAAATATCAGGGGTGATTTTGATATGCATTGGTTTAGATTTAAAGCAAGGAAAACAAAACAAAATCAGAAATTAAATGAGGACCTCCATATGTTGCTTGACAAAGTCTTAGTCTTAGTAGTGTGAAATTATGAGCTTGACTGATTTTCCCCCTGATTTTACTAAACCAACCATTTGTTGACATCATGGAGCCACATGTGGCCTCAGGTTACAGTTTATAACCTGAATTTTCCCAGGCATAGAAGCCTGTCCAATGACACAGCCAGAGCCACATGAAGATTTAATGTGTGGGTCTCAGTTTCCATCTCTTAGGAGTGATGAAGTTGGAAAAGAAAAAGACAATGGAAAGGAAAAAGAAAGGGATAGGCTATGGACTAAGGTATAGAAGAAAGAGGCTCTGGGCAGGAGACAGACAGGGCAGAGCACAGAGAAAACATTGTGCTTGATTTATTGAACCAATTTTGTTTAGGTTGCAAACTGGTGGCTAGAGAGTCAAATTAAGCTTGTGAGCATATTTTATGTGACTTACACTT